AGAGAGAGAGAGAGAGAGAGAGAGAGAGAGAGAGAGAGAGAGAGAGAGATAGATAGATAGATAGAGATAGAGAGAGAGAGAGAGAGAGAGAGACAGAGACAGAGAGAGAGAGTGAGAGACGAAAAGAAAACAAAAAGAAAGAGAGAGACGAAAAGCAGAAAAAAGAAAGAGAGAGAAGAGAGAGAGATGAAAAAAGAAGAGAGAAAAAAAGAAGAAAAGAAAAAGAAAAGAAAGAAGAAAAAAAGACGAAAAGCCAAATCCTCAAGTATAGCTCTATTATCAACCAGACACAACAGGGATCTTCTTGGGATGGTCGGCGCATAAACCTGGAAACCTTGTATGGTCGTCATTTGCGGTAAACGACCTTTTAACGAGAGAAGATCTAGTGTTTTATTTCACTGGAGGTAATTGCTGCGGGAGAACATATTCATTTTCTCACTACCTTGTTCTTTATTGGTCGTAAGTTTCAAAGTACACAGGAACTACTAATGAAGGGGAAATTAATGTGACACACGCTATCAAGAACCTGGAAGAGTATCTAGCAAGGATTTTGAAGATATATGAGTGTTTTCTTTTTGTAAAATCTTTAACAAACTACCAAGACGTACGTAGGAAAATGGAGGGTAATTATCATCCGAAACTTTAGATATTGTGAGCCTCTCTTGTCATAGATCGAAAAGAAGGCATTTTCATCCATATTTTACACGTCGATAATTGGTATGGGAGAGCAGATCCCTTTACTTATTCCGAAACGCACAGAATAAACAGCACAAGCTTGGTACTTATTTCTTGAGGTTGCAGTATGTTTTATTTACTGCAGGAGATTATCCTTGGTTCTTATAGGGGCTAGTTGCGGTTGCAAACGCTCTGTGAAAGGTTGGTCTTAACGAGCATAACGTGTGAAGAATGAATGAGCTTTTTATGAGGCTGGGTTGCACACATATTTCCGATGAAAGAAAAATGTAGACAGTCTTTCAAAAATATGAGGTAATGGACGCACAAGAGGCTTTGCACTAGGATTCAATCTAATAATATTCTCTAATATTTATCATGACTTCTGTATTTGTGACGAAGGACAATAGTTATTCACATAAGCAGTGGGTTTATGGAAAACTTTAAAGCAGACGTTCCCAACATCTTTACACTCGCGACCCCCTTTCTCCGCGACGCTCCCTCACCAGGCTTTTCATTTATAGATATTCTAACTACACATTTAGGCTAAGAATAAGGTATTCAGCAAGTTTTATATACCTCAATGAAATAGAATAATCCTTAAAGACATAGCTTGATAATATATTCCTAAAATGATCGCGGGCCAACAGTATCTCCCCCCAGGGCTTCGTCCCTACTGCTGACACCCCCCCCCCCCTGTTGGGAACCACAGATGGAATTTACCTTTGGCTAGATTTATATTCACTAATGGGTATAAATGGATTTCACTCGTCACGAGAAATAGTAGAAATGATTCGAAGTGAAGAAGGGTGTTATCACTGTAATATAAATCACTGTTATTCTGCCATCAAAAAATTATATGAGCATCAGTGGATTATCCTTATCATAGAGTTCCACACCATTGGAAAGGACGTGTGATGTCCTTAATCTTCCTTTCCATTTCCAGTTGTGATTATCAAATAGAAAATGAAAGACACAAAGCCAGACAAGGAGACAGACAGATGGCAATTTACACAAGAAAGAAAGCCACAGACAGCTGGACATACACACCGACAAAAAGACAGACATACATAATTAGACATACTCATATATAAACACATTTACAAACAGACAAACGCAAATAAACGACAGACCAACATACATTTCAGACAGAGAGAGAAAAATAAGAACAAAGAAACAAACAAGAGAACGAGGAGGAGACGAAGCATAACGACATAGTTGTGACCAAAACAACCGAGCGTCTTTCGTTAAGCCTAATCGAAAGGGAAAAGTTAATCATCATTTCTCTTTCACTTTCTGTTTTATTTGTCTGTTTTTTAGTGAGACGACGAGCGTGAAATATTGAAGAGGTACTAAATATGTTCTATGAAGAGGTACTAAATATGGTACTAAATAAATATAAATATGTCTCTGTTCGTGGTTGTCTGCTGATCTATCTGTCTAGCTTTATTTGTATGTATAAATGGGTGTGTGTATGTTGTATGTGTGAGTGTAGGGGAGGAGGTGTATGCGCGTGTGTATGTATGTCAGGGGAGAGGTGTATGTATGTAGGAAGTGTTTGTGCGTATGTGCGTATGGATGTATTTACGCATGTTTGTTTACATCTATTTAT